CCCTGACATGGGAGCAGGTTCTGCGGTCTCACCTACCAGCTGCTCCTACTGCCTGTGTTCCTTCTAAGAGCCCCGGGATTCAGCACATGGATACAGGCTCCTGCTGAATGTGGGCTCAGAGAACAGTGGGTGGCTTTTCACACGGAAATGTGCCACAGGCTTATCTGAAATTCACATTCAGGGTGCGTTCTCCCTGGCCTGTGGCAGGGGTCGAGGAGCCGGGTGGGAAGACTGCCACCTCTCCAGGCCCCGGGGCTCACGCCCCTCACCCCACCCACCCACGTGAGCTGAAATGCAGGGTCTCATCCGAGGGTCTTGGAAAAAACCTCAGGCTGGGCTGCCAGCCCTGCGACCCCGCCCAGGGGGCCTGCCCATCTGGGCCCTCAGCCCTGGCCCGCGGTGGGTCAGCTGCAGGAGGGGGATGGGGGCACTTGGTGACCGAGGCCCTGGGGTCCTGTTTGCAGCCGCTTCCCAGAACTGGGCCTGCAAGCCCGGGGCGACCTGGGGAGGGCCTCCAGTTCAGGCCCTGGGTCCTTCCCTGCTGTGTCCTGGCCAGGGCACCTCCGTGTGGCCTTCCTCCTATTTTGCCCCCCTTCACTGTGAGGGGGAGCAGCAAGTGCTGCCCCGGCTCTGGGATGTCCAGGGAGGCCATAGGATGTTCAGCCCATGGCTGCTGGGGAATCCACACTCGTTGGGGGACCTCCTCAGATTCCCAGCAGGCACGGGGGGCAGTGCTGTGTCCCAGGGGTTCCACTCCCAGAAAGTCTGAGGCAGGTGAAGTGGCCCTCGCATCTGGGGCAGGAGGCCGAGGAGGCCCTGCTTGGGGACACCAGACACATCTCCCTGTGAAGCTGGGCCCCAGACTTGGGGTGCCAGGCTCATGAGGCTGCACAAGCTGGCGTGAGCTCCCATCTGACCGTGAGCCCAGCATAGGCCCCTCCCCGTCCGCGTGGTCACCCTGACTCCTCCCACTCCCAGGAACGCACCTCCCACACTGCCCAGTGGGGCGCACACACAGACACACTCCCAGAGGCAGGAGCGTGAGAAGTCACGTCCACTCAGCCTGCCACTCAGGCCCCGTGTTCACACCCCTCGCCTGTGCCCACGTGCAGACGTGCTCAGCTGCTCTGATGCTGGGCCCTCTTGCACCTCACGCCTGGGTGCTTGCGAGAGTCCTTGCAGAGTGTTGGCTCACGCGCGTGTCCAGACCTGGCCCTCTCACGCCAGGTGTCCAGCGCCTGCCCGTGCGCCTCAGGGGACCTGCATGGAGCTTTCAGCTGAAAATCGGGGCAAACAGGAGGCACGGCTTTCAGTCCCAAGGCAGTAGGGTCTGTGTGGCCAAAGCCAGGCTTCATCTCGGAGGCTCACAGGCCCGCCAGCTGTGCTTCGCTTCAGTAGAGTGCCACCTCTGGGGGCAGATGGCTCAGGGCCCCACGAAGCGCTGCCCGGACAGCGTGGGAGAGCGAAGTGTGGAGCAGACCCAGGCCTAATTGCTTCCTCCGAGGTCCTGCCCTGTCCAGGAAGGTGTCAGGCCGACATCCAGGCTGGGGGTCTTTCATCCCAGCCCTTTGGCCCTGCATCCAGCACCATTTGGTGGGGCAGCTCTGGGCGCCCAGGTGGACAAGCCAGCCTGGGAGGGCCTCGGGATGGCAGGCACAGATGGTGGGGGGTGCCCCGTAGCAGGTCCCAAAAGGGTAGGGACCCTGGGGACAGTAATCGTGGTGCTGCTGTGTCCTCCGCTCCCAGCCTGAGTATCTGGAGGTGTGCGCAGGGAAGGTGCCAGAAACACCTTGGCACCCTGCCTCCTTTTCTCACTGGGGGTGGGATAGAGGGTGTTTATTTTCTCTGCTTTCTTAGGCTTTACTGTTCTCTAAATGAGCAAATGACCCATTCCTCTAAAGCAAGTCATGGCTTCTCAGCCCAAGCCCCCACCTTCCCTGCCTAGGGCAAAATCCCAGAATGGGGTCACCTGGAGCTTGGCTCAGGCTATTGGGTGGGGGCTCCATGTAGGTGGGGCCCTGCTTGGAGCCCCAGATGGGGCCCCCACAAGCCTGCCCAGTGGACTCGGAGGAACACATGCAAAGCCCCTCTGCCTCCCGGCCCTGCCCAGCAGTTCCTGTGTCCCTGGCTGGGGCTCCCTGAGAACCGTCACCCGCACCCCACACTGTGCACTGGCTGTCCACTGTTTGGGGGGTGCATAGCAGATACCTGCAGGCCCACAGACCAGGGCCATGAATGTGTGGCCCACACACCCAGGGCAGGTGGCACCCAGGGCAGTTTCAGAGCCAACGGCAGACTCACTCGGGAGTAGTTCTCAGCACCAGGGAACTGACCCCTTAAAGCCCCCCAGCAAGTCTCAGCCCCAGTTCTGAGGAGGCGCACGTGTCCCAGGTGCCTGCTGCAGTCCTGATTACACACTTCGGAAGCCCAGGGAAGTGACCAGAAGAGTCCTTCTCCCCTTGGGAAACCCCTACAGAGGGTGGACAAGGCGGACCTGCCTGGCTGTGGGTCCCCAGGACCAGCCCTGCTGGCAGCCAGCCCCAGAAGATAGCCTCTACCGCGGGGTGTGCCCCTGCCCGAGGCTGCCCCTGCAGACAGATACAGTGCCCCGATCAGGGCAGCATGGCAGGCCTTGACTCAGCAGCCCGGGGGCCGTGGGGACCAGTGTGCAGGTGCCCCCCGCAACCAGAGCCAGAGCTTTCCCATCCCAGCCCCTCTGCCCCGACTCACCTGGCCCTTCCCACCCAGTCAGACTGGCGGGGGCAGTGGGGGAGTGGGAGGTGCGAGGCTGGCGCTGCCCTCAGGCTCCCAGATTGCAAGGTGCTGCTGAGACTGGGTGGGGCCCGCAGGGCAGCACAGCCTGTGTCCAGGGCCCCTCATAGTCTCTGCCCGGCCCGCTGGCATTCCAGGAGTGGGGTCTGCATGTTCCATGAGAGGAGTGGCGTGGCTCATATGCCACGTGCCCACACACCTCTCCAGCCTGGGGGCAGCATGAGAACCCTGGTGTGGGCCCTGACCAACAGAGAGCCCTGAGACCGAGTATGTCATGCAGCCCCTCAGAATCCCCCTTTATTCAAAATGGGAGGGTGTCGGGGAAGGACCTCAGATGGGTGGGCACAAAGCCCACAACCTGAGGTCAGGGCCGCAGCCTCCCTCGAGGGTGGCCATTGGCTGCCCACAGCAGTGCCGAGGTCGGGGCTGCTGGGCCCTGAGGCAGACAGGAGCTGGACATGGCGGCCCTGGGCGCCAAGCCCTCCTGCAGATGGGGAGCGAAAGCAGCACGGGCAGGCAGGCACAGAACCGGCTTTTCCAGCTCGGGGGTGCTCCCAGGGCCCCGTCGGGGTGCGGGGTGACAGCAGGGCTCAACAGTGGGCAGCAGCCGTGGGAAACCCGGCACTGGTAGTTCCCGAAGGTGGGGCCAGGCCCTTGCGGACAGCACCAGGCGTTGGTCTGCGTGTGGTGACTCAGCATGAGCTGGCGACCCCGCCCAGGTGTGCACATTGGGCCCAAGTCCTGGGAAGGCTGGTGGACCCCTCACGGAGGACCCCACCCCACTCTTCTGCTGTGTTATGCCCTCAGGGTGGCCTGTCAGAATGAGGGCCTCTGTGGTGGGCAGCCCTGGGTGGCAGCCAGAGACTAGACTGCCTACTTGTTCTTGCTCCTAGAGTAAGACCTGGACCTGGGGCACCGCAGGCCACACCTGCAGCCAGGGCTCTGACGTTGCTGCTGCCCCCAGGAAGCCTCCTGGACTTGCAGCCAGGGGTCAGGACACACAGCAGCCTCCCTGCCAGAGGCCAGCCCAGACCCTGGCTGGGGGAGGGGGCAGTGGGGAAGGGTCCTGCCTGGAACCAGCCCAAGAGCCCCAACAGAGGGGGCCCCATCCACCCAGCACTCCCAGGCCCGGGCTCCCCAGCCTGCCGTGCTGCTGAGGCACAGCGGTGAGGCCGCAGGTAAAGCCAGCTTGCGGTGTTGACAGGCCCGTGGGAAAAGGGTGGGGGGGTTGGGCAGGGCAGGTGCCTCCCTGAAGTGGGCACACCCTGCGGCTCCAGGGGCCTGCAGCCACCACCTACCCACCCACCCACCCAGCCACAGGAGCCTCGTCATCCAAGGCACTCAACCAGGAGGGGGCAAGGAGTGCTCACAGCCCCCAGCCCCTGCCCAAGGCTCACCCTCCTCCCGTAGGCCGCCCTGAGGTCCAGAAGGGCTGTGACCACAAAGTCTCCTCGGGTACCTGCGCCCACCTGCCTGGCAGCCAGGTCTCAGCAGGTGCCCAGCCCTGCCGCCCTGGCACACAACCCTCCCCACCTTGCCCTGGGAATCCTGGGGCCTAGACCCATCACAGCCCTGGGGTGGCCAAGGTGGGAGAGCAGGAAGAGCCCCACAAGCCCCTGCCCCCACCCTCTGGGGTCACTGGAAGGTCAGCAGGGTTGAGCTGAGCTCCTTACAGGGGCCCATTGCAAGTTCTACACAAAGACCCTGAGTGCAAACCAAAGTGCCTTCACTCGTAAGAGCGCATGGACTGGGCACCCGGCAAGGGCCGGACTCCTGGCCCCTGAAGCAGCAGGAGGACCGGTGTCATGGAGAAACCTGAACACAGAAGTGGCCAGGCTCACCCCAAGATGGGCTGAGGGGTCGGGGCAGCTGTAGGGCGACCCACCCTGACCCTTTCATGCTGGGCCATGCGCCCCCTACCCATGCTGAGCCTGGCCCAGGGCTGCCCAGGCTGGCTCTGCCCTTACGGGCTCTGAGGCTGGGGGGCACAGCCAGGTGATGGCAGAGTTACTAGGATCTCAGGAGCCAGAAGGGGCCGCCCAGGGCCCACTAGGAGCCAGTGCAGCCAGGGAGGGCTCCCATTAGGCGGTGTGCGCTGTGGTCCTGTGGGGAGAAGGGATGTGTCATTTGTCTCCATGAAACCTCTGGCCAGACTCGGAGCTGCAGGGGGCTGGAGGAGGGGGCATGGAGCAAGCCTCCCCCCACCTCAGCAGCCCCTCTGCCCCCAGGCCTGTAACTGTGACCAGTACCTGAAGGTCTCCAAGAACCTGATGAGGCAGCTCATGTGGCCCAGCGACCACCAGGAAGGCCCCAGCAGCATAGGTGAGTGCACCCCACAGGGTTGGGCATGGGCTCCATGCGGTCTGTGGACCCAGCTGCTGGGCACTCCAGGGCGAACCTACAGCAATAGCCAGGGGGAGATGGAAAGGTGGGGCCCACAGTGGTGCCCAGGCGCAGGGCACCAGGAAGCTCAGGCACTCAGAACCCCTCTGGGGTGGTGTCTGTCACCCTCTTCTCCAGTGGACCCTGCTCAACTGCTGGCCACCCTGCCCCAAACACGGAGGGCACATGCAGCCAGGCACACAGACACGCACATGCACAGGCCTGTGCACAAGAGCACCCCTGTGCTCAGTCGCACACCGTGCATCACCGGCCTTGCTAAGCTATCTGAAGGCAGATGAACCTAGGCATATAGGAAGGAGGGAGGGCTTGGGGTGTTACCCCCCTCCCCAGTGGGGGGTCCTATTCAGGGACCCAGCCTTAGATTCCTTTTTTGTAAAACTAGAAGAGGAAACAGGGCACCCAGGATTTTGAAGTTGCTGGGTGGGTAGTGAACGTACCTTGCCACCCTAGAGAGAGACAGACTAAGCAGGGGGGCTCCTCGGTGGAGGGCGGGGATGGGGTGGATAGTAGGGTGGCTTGGGACCCTCATGGGGTCAGCAGGATGCCAGGGTGACTCTCCAGGATCCTGACTGCCCTATCCGGCTGCTCCTGACCTTCCTGCCTCCCTCTGCGGTTTGAGGCCAGAGAAGGGGACAGCCCTGGACAGCGCTCGGCCCTCCACAGCATGGCCTGGACGTGCTCAAGGCCCAGGACAGGAGCAGACCAAGAGCAGTGCCCTCCACAGGGCCACCGGGCTCCAGCCCCAAGGAGCCTCACCCTTGCCCCGAGGCTGCATTCGTCCTATGCTGGGGGTTGTCTGGTGTCTTGGGGGGCCTCCCAGCAAGGGCTGCAGCCAGAGTGGCTGGGGCGAGGCCGGGTGGCCAGATGGAGGTCATGGCCTCACTGGGCTGCAGGAGGCAGTGGGCCTGGTGTGGGGGCCTCATCCATTCAGACCCTGGCTGCAGTTAATCTGGAGCCATCTGTGGAGAAATGTTTGCCAAGAAAATCAGGAGATCAGCGGTGTGGACAGGATGCTTCCCCCCCCTGCGGCCAGTGCCCTCAGCCGTCCCTGCCCTCAGCCCCACACCGGCCCCTGGGCTGCCACCATCCTGGCTGACTCCCTGTGCTCTCGGTGGGGCTGGGACTCTCTCCGGGGTCAGAAGGCCACCCCCAGAGTCTCTCGTGGCACCCTGAGCTCCAGCAGGCCCCCCAGCTCCCCACCCACCCCGATGGGTTCCGAAGCAACTCCCTGGCAGTGGGCTTATCTGCTCATCACCACAGACGGGCCGCCCCCGCCACTGCCCTCCCCCAGCCTGCTGGTTCTCAGGCCCCCACGCGCCCTAATCAGCCGATCTCTCGCCCAAAGCATGTTTCCCAAGGACCTTTGAGCCCCAAGAATGTTCCAAGGTGTGAGTTCCCATGGGAGGGGACCTGGCTGGCACCGCAGCTTCTCAGCCCCCTGCCCTTTGTCCTCTCCCCCGGGGGTAGCGGAGAGGCCGGGACTTGGAGGCGCACTGGGGCTGCTGGGCCCCATCCTTACGATAGTCCCTGACACCCTTGAATGACAGGTGACGAGGCCGCCCACAGCGAGGACATCCAGGAGGCAGGTGAGCCCTGGAACCCCCCAACCAAGGACACATGGGGCCCCCGGCACTTGGAGCCACCCAGGCCAGATAGAGGGGACTTCTCTGAGGGGATGGTCTCTGTGCCCTGGCAGAGGCAGGGAGGCTGGGGAAGGGCCAGGGAGGCCTGGGAAGGGAGAGGGCCAGAGGTGTGTGGCCTGTGAGCCATGGGTGGGTTGACGCAGAGGTCACGGGTGGATGGGGAGGCATAGGGAGGAGCCACTGGAGAGAGTGGGGTGGGGGCTGTATACCCGAAGGCCGGGGGCTCACAGTGGCTGCTGTCACCTGTCCAGGCTTGGCCCCAGAGGAAGGCCCTGGGGGCTACGCCTATGACCCCCCTTGCCGCTGGCTGGAGGCAACAGACCTGCAGGCCGGGGTACCAGCCACGCTGGGCAACGGCACCCGACTGCAGCTGGCAGGGGTCCCGGCGGGTGTGCTGGCGCGGCCTGGGCTCAGGCCTTTCTACTGCTGCACAGGCTGTGGCAAAGTCTTCTGGGAGGGCTCCCACCTGGGCCGCATCGCTGCACACTTCAGCGAGGTCCTGGGTGGTGCCCCGGGCTCCCGTGCGCAGCCCCCATCGGCCCCTCCTGAAGACCAGCCCCCCACCCTGCCAGCCTACTTCAGGCAGGGGCCAACAGTAAAGGTGAAGAAGGCCCCAGCCAAGCGGACCTGAGGTCAAGGACTGCCTTGTCTGTTCTCTGTCCCCCACCCTGCTGAGAGCCCTCGCAGGCCACTGGGTCCCAGCCTGCACAGCTGGTGGGAGGCCCAGGGTGCACAGGCCTTGCACCAGGAACTGCCCGGAGCTCAGGAATGAGGCACACAGGAGGCAGGAAGGCAGCCTGGTAGAGGAAATGGCCTGGGCAGAGGCCCAAGGGCTGAACTGAGGTGGCTCCCGAGTCAGCTGAGCTCAGTGGGCCGGAGGGCTGGGGTGGAGGCAGAAGGCCCTGTGCACTGGGCGGCCCACCCACTTGGCTGTGGCAGTCAGTGCCACTGCCTCCACCCCACCCTCCTGGCCTTCTGAGGCCAAGGGCGAAGCCCAAGGGCAGGCAGGTCCCAACCAGGCCAGCCTCGGCCAGGGGGCTTCCTGATGGGGAAGCAGGACGGCTGCCCTTGACGAAGGCCTCCACTGTCCACCAGAAGGCCGAGGCCTGGAGGGAAGGCCGGCACCTCTGAGCCTGCTGCTCTGGCCCCCCTGCCGGCCCAGGCGTGACCCCACAAGGTCTTTTTCCCTCCCCCTGGGTCAGGGCTGGGGGGCTGCCCCTCATGAAGGAAAGCGCAGCCACGCGGGCAGGCCCTGCTCATGTGTATTCTAGCCCCCAGCCTCACTCCTGCAGGAAGCTGCACTGCTGTGCCCACTTGGGGGGAAACTGAGGCTCAGGCAGGCCATTGGCGACACCCAGAGGGCCAAGGGCAGTGGTGCCAGGCGGCAGGGAGAGGGGTGCAGAGGCGGCACCCACGGGTGGGTCCCTCTGAGCAGGGAGGGCCCAGGCTGCACGTTGCCCTGGCCCTCCTTCCCCTGGTTCACCCCCGAGGAATGTGCCCCCCCACATCCCTTTCCTGTCCTTCCTGCCCTGAGCGGAAACCAGCTCAGATTTGGCTGAGGAGCCCAGGCGGAAGCCCCAGGGCGGCTGGGGCCTGGGGGCTGGGGCAGGGCTACTACCTCTGCCAGGGCAGGGCACACACCAGGTGTGATGGCCTTGGGCGCCAGGTGGGCATGGGCCTTTGCCCCACTTGGGTGTGGTCAGGCCTGAGGTGCGTACGGGCTGGGGCTCGTGCTGCGGCCATATAGGCATCCTGCCACATTCCACATCCTTCCGAACCCTCGGCGTGCCCACCGTGTGCTAGGCACAGGCCCTTCCAGCACCCAGCAACCGTGGGGCCAGCTGGGCCGGGACACCACTCCACACAGGGAGATGGCAGCTGGGAGACGGGGGACCAGCTGCAGCCCTGGCCTCCCTCCACCCTAAGGTCACTACTGAGCCTAAGGATCAAGCAGGGGTGCCAATGTGAGCAGGCGAGCTGCACCCTATCAGGGTCTGAGACCCTCTCAGCTGGGTGCTTCCTCCAGGAGAGGGGCCAGAGATGGGAGGCACCCAGACCACACTTCTTCCCTGAGTAGGGGTGCCAGCCCCGCTTCCCCGCCCAACTGCATCCTGGAGGCTGCTCGGACCCAAGGCCCTGGCATTGCAGCTGGCCCTGGACAGACAGAGGGTGAAGCCAGGGGAGGCCACAGGGTCCTGGGGGTGGGGGTTGGGGACAGTGTCCTTCCCGTCCCCCCAGGAAGGTGGTCCCAAGCCCCACTGCCCACACAGCTTCCTAGAGAGAGGAGGGCGGCTCACTGGGGACCTGCTCCCAGTGTGGTCCTAATAGCCACACCTGTACGGTGTGGCCTGCCTCCCAACCCCTCTGCTGCCCAGATGGGCTCCCTCTCCAGGCAGCCTCCCAGGCTCACTTGATCACTGCCAGCCCGCCCTGCTCTGTGGCACCCCCATCCTAGGCCCAGCCCCCCCTGGTCCTGAGCTATCCAGGATCAGCTGAGGTGCCTTCTGAGGCCTCAGGACCACCTTAGGCCCCTTCCCAGGCTAGGGGTCAGACTCCAGGGAGACTGGGTGGGCTGTGCCCAGTGCCAGGCTGTGCCCTGAACGGGCAGCGGCGGGAGGAGCAATTGTCTGCTGTGGTTCCTGCCCCGGCCGCTGGCCCGGGCCTAGTGTTTGTTATTTGATCTCCATCCTCTCCCGGCCCTTCTACCAGGTGTCTGGGCTGCTGGGAAGAAACTCTCTCCTCTTTCCCACGCTCCCCGACACATTTTAATGAATTAGCTGGAAGCCCCGCCCCCACTGCCCGCCTGCCTGCTCACCCTCCTTCCCCCGCCTAACTCCTTTAAGGTGGCAGCCGGCCACTTCCGCACTGTCCTCCAGGGCCGCCCCACCCACACCTCCCCTGCCCAGGTCCCAGAATGCACCCCAAACTGCCTCCCCTACCCGCACTGCGCCCCTCCTGCCTGCTGCTCTGAGCCTCTTAAGGAAGGGGATCCCCAGTGGGAGAAGCTGCCCTCTCCAACTCTGGCCTTAAGGCGGCGCCCCCTGGCCAGCATCCTAAGAGCCACGTGCAGAAAGGTGGGGCCTGACCCCCGGGTCCCGGTTCAGAGGCTTCCCCTCAGAGCCAGCGCACAGCAGCACCCAGGAGAGCCAGACCACCCGACGGGCTTCCTCCTGCCCGGGGTGTGGCAGGTCCCCCCAGCCCACCCCAGGGCACGGAACAGTGTCCTCCTTTTGGGCCACCCTTCAGCAAGCATTCAAGAAGTGCTCCCCGGGAGCCTGCGCCCCTCAAGCCCCTCTCCCCAGTCTCATCCTGTCTGCAGAGGGGGCAGCGTCAGAGACCTGGGGCACAGACCAGAGCGGCTGGACCAAACCTCGCTCCTGGCCGCAGCAGGAGAGCACCAGGCTCAGGCCTTCCGGGGGCCCCACAGGCAGTTGGGGGGCCCAGCCCCTGATGCCTGCTGCTCACCTGTGGGGCTCAGGTGACAGCCTCACAGCAGCACCAGGCCCGGCTACACCTGTCTGACCCACACACCGAATCGAGGGTAGGGGCAGGTGGGGGCCTTAGACTAGGCTCCTGTGACCACCCCGGAGGGCCTTGGGTAGGCCACTGATTCAGTGGCCCATGGTGGCAGCAGGTGTTCCCAACACTGAGCTCACAGGCCCCCTTTGCCCACCCTGGTGTCAACTGGACGTCTCTCCCAGGCTTTACTCCAGGCCTGGCAGGGTCTCCAGATGCCCTTCTGCAGGTCAGGGGGCCTGCCCTCCACTGGGCTGGAGCCTGTGAGCCACCACCTGCTGGGGACCAGGGCTGGACCCCGGCCAGAAGTGTGAATAACAGAGGGCTGACTGGGAAGGGGACGCCTGCCCACCTGACCTGTCGGGGTGCAGCAGGCCAGCACATGCCCAGCAAGCCCTGGCCCTTCACAGGGCTCCAAGCTTTCCTGCTCCAAGGTCCCTGTCCGGAGGTGAACATGGACCCAGTGGACAGGGCTAATGTGGCCTCCGGGGCAGTCCATGCCCATGTCCCTGGTACCGGGGTGCAGTGCAGAAGGTCTGGAGGTAGTCAGAGGCTTCACCCTCTGGGTGCTCACAGTCCAGCAGCAGCTGACCCCAGGCCCCGTTACTGGGCCCAGGGACACATCCCAACAGGACACACAGGATGATGGAGGGGCTCCCAGCGGCAGCACCCCCAGGTCATGCCCACTGCTGGGCTGAGCACAGGGCCTGGGGCTTGGGGGGCAGCACTCGGGGGGCCCTGGTCACAGCAGGACGTCTGGACTACCAGCAGTACCACAGGCCCAAGGAAGGCCAGAGCCAGGGACTCAGGTCCTGGCCACCAGGAGAGCCCCAGGGAGTCAGCCAGGTAAGGCCTGAGGGCAGCAGGCCCTGGGTGGCCTCACCCAGTTTCTCCTGTGGTTTGGCTGTGACCCTCCCAGAGCACAGCAAGCTGGGGGCACACTACATGTCAGGAGGTGAGTGGGGCCCGGGGCAGGCACTCACGGGAACCCATTCTCAAACGAGGCCTCACAGAGTGGTCTCCACGGCGGAGGCCCGGAGCTGCCTCCTGAAAGTTCCAGGCTGGCTTCTGAAGGAATTCCCGTCCCCCCCCCCCGCTGCCCTGCGGCCCGGGGCCTACTGCCCCGAGAATCATTCCTCCTTAATTCCCAGCGACCACAACCAAGCCATCAACTGTGAAATCTTAATGAGGAAATTTGGCCACAGTGTTAGAATGTCAATAAAAAATAGGTTTACAGTTTGGAGATGAGTCATTCCAGAGTTCCCTTTCAGAGCAGACCTTGGTGCCTTGCCTGGGGCTGCTCGCCTGGCCAGGCCTTACCTGTCCCCTTCATGATGACGGGGGTGTCCCAGGAGAGGGTAGCAGGCCCCAAGGTCCTGCTGACTGGCCCCCCTCCGCCCACTGCGGAGCTTCCAGCCAAACCGCCCCCAGCCCTGGGCTTGCTCATCAAGAGACCCCGCTTCGTCATCAGGACAAGGGCGCAAGCCCTGCGGTCCGGCTCCTCGCGCGGGAAGGACCCGCGTAGCTGAGGTCATACGCCTGAGCTGCTGGTGGAATTGTCAGCTGCGCGGACCGTGTGTTCCAGGGGCCAGCTGGGCCGGCCTCGTCGCGCACCTGGCGAGCTGGGGACACGGAGAGTCCGCGGCCGGCGTTCGGGGAGCGCGGAGCGAGGGCCGGGGTCTCTAACCCCAGCTGCCCACCCAGACCTGAAATGCCTGTTGAACCCTGACCTAGGGGAGGCCCTCTTTGCGGCCTGCTGGGGTCACACCCGGCCCAGGCCGGGTCTGTCCTCGCAGGGAGCTAAGAATTCCCCGGGTGGCACGGGGCAGAGTGGGCGGGGCGACGGCGCAGACGCGGAGGGCCCGGGGCGCGCCGAGCAGGAACACCCCCACCCTCGCTCCCCACTCAGCGCCCCCTGCCGCGCGCTGCGCCGCCGCCCCGCCCCCATGTGGGCGTCGCCCAATCGCCGCTCCGCCGGCGCGCGCGTCATGGGCGCCCTATTGTTATGCAAATATAAAGGGAGTAAAAGGCTGCCCGGTGCGGTGGCTGGACAGGCGAAAGCAGTGGGGCGTGGGAGCCGCGTGGGGCCACCGCTGAACCGACCAGGACCCGGAGCGCGCAGCGCCGCCGCCCCAGCCAGCGTAGCTTCTGCCCCCGTCGCCCGCCTGCCAGGGCGCGGCTGGATGTGGCGGGGGCCCCTCGGCGGCGGCGGCCTCCGGCCCCCAGCGCCCGGAGCGCCCAGGGCCGGCGTACGGGGCCCGGGGGCGCCGCGCCCTCCATGCGCCAGGGCGCGCCCCGAGACAGCCGGGGGTCCGCGTCGCAGCCGCCGCTGCCGCCGCGGCGGCTCGCGCTGAGCCCCGGCCGGGCCCGCGGCCTGCGCCTGGCGGCAGTATGAGCCAGGCCGAGCTGTCCACCTGCTCGGCGCCGCAGACGCAGCGCATCTTCCAGGAGGCCGTGCGCAAGGGTAACACGCAGGAGCTGCAGTCGCTGCTGCAAAACATGACCAACTGCGAATTCAACGTGAACTCTTTCGGGCCGGAGGGCCAGACGGCGCTGCACCAGTCGGTCATCGACGGCAACCTGGAGCTCGTGAAACTGCTGGTCAAGTTCGGCGCCGACATCCGCCTGGCCAACCGCGACGGCTGGAGCGCGCTGCATATAGCCGCGTTCGGCGGCCACCAGGACATCGTGCTCTATCTCATCACCAAGGCCAAGTACGCGGGCAGCGGCCGGTGATGCCCGCCCGGACCCGGACCCGGACCCCAGCCTCGACGCGGACCCGGATGCGCCCCGCGCGTGTCGTCTCTGCTGTACCTTCCCGCCAACTACCTCGGTATGCGCCGGCCCCTGCGGCCACGGCGAGGCCGGCGCGCACGTCCGCGCCCACGGGGGCCTCACGGGGCCCGCTGCCCCGGGTCGGCGCCCCCGCGCGACCGCCCGGACCCGCCCGAGAGCTTCCCACGGCCCCGCCCGCGCTTTGCGGGGGTGGGGGCGGGGCGCGGGCTCCAGCCCCTTTGAAATCTGAGTCTCGCCACCACCAAGTTCGGAATCCCGAGACACCGGATCCTCCGCTCAAAATGTTTTCTGCTGAAGGTGGAGGGTGGATGGTTGACAAGCAGCGGACGCGCGGTGGAGGGGCGCCTGCAGCCCCAAACTATTTATCGTGTGTGTAGTGTATTTGTGGGTGAGGTTCGTGAGCCTGATTGTTTTGTTTGAAAAGTATGGTGCGTGGTCGTTGTGGTTATGGGGGGAATGGTGCATTTTTTATTTCCTAGTCTTAAAACTAAAAACTTGAGTCTGTCATTTCTTGGTTGCACTGAAAATACCTACCAGCCTGATGGTGTTCCCGTGCTGGTCACTCCCTCCCCTCCCCTCCCCTCCCCCACCCGCCTCCCACGTCTCTCTGCCCTCCCCTCCTCACACACACACACACACACACACACGTGAGTTTGGAAGCCCTAGGCCTCCGTCAGCTCCTGAGAGGCCACCATCCCCCAAACTTAGTTTTGCAAAGCGCGCGGGAGGCTGGGTGCTCGGGTGCGGCGGCGATGGGGGAGGGGGAATCGTACCTTTTCTAGTGTGTTCTATTGTAGGTTACAGTCTTGCACACTTTTTTTTAAGTAAATGGATTTGCCACAAATGTCATAACATTTATGACAAAATATAAAACGTTAACATTTTAAGCCAAGTTTTAGGTGTATTTTTGAATCTTGGTTATAAACCCAGTTTTAAAGGGGGTTGTATCCAGCGTTGTGAAGGCAACAGTGTATCCATATTTATATGTTTATAAGATGCCTATAAGACTGTGAATCTCCTGTGCTAATTGCCGAGTGAGTTGAAGGACCTTTCGCCCCTTTGCAGCCTCCCGGAGCGCCCAGGACCCGCCTCGAATCCTCAAATCCGGCCGTGGGGGAGGGGCCTCCGGGACCTGGGCCGGAGGCGGTGCCGCCGCGTCACTTTCTGTCCCGCGAGGCGCCCTTCCTGGTCTCCGAGGTTCCAATTTTCTATGCAACCCCACACCCCTTGTTGTTTTGATCCTGAGAAATAAAAGGAAGGCTGAATTATTCAAATTTAAATGAGGCTTCCCCAGGGTAGAAGTGCTGCTGACCCTTCGCGCAAAAATGGGGAGCACTTGAGGACACAGGTGGGTGGAGGCCCTTTGTGCGTGGCCGGTCGGATTCGGGCAGTCATCTGCGGCTTTTCCTAAAGCCTGTGTGAGAATATATTGATAACGTCACTGCAACAGGCAGACATTGAAACTGAGGCACGGATTACTCCCAAAGGAGTATTTTTTTCTAGATGCAAATGCCTTTTTAATTATGTTAATTAATGTTAAGATTTCCTAGGCTTACATGGAAGCTGTGTGTGGGTCCGGGTATGGTCACCTCCGACTGGATGAAGGCTGCAGCGCATTCCTGAGTGTACGATAGAGGCTTGTAGCCCAGCGTGAAAAATTTACAAATAAATTTTTCATTGATCTTTTTATATTAAAAAAAAGTTTGTTGGCTCTTCTTGGTCTTGACACCTGAGACGAGTGTCAGGCCGCAACAGGCTGTTTGCGGGTGACGCTGCAGAATGCTGGGCTTGCTTCCACCCGAAGAGAGGCCCCGGGAAACTGGCCGCGGGCTCCGCTCAACCGCCAGCCCAGGGTGGCCGGGGTCAGGACTTGTGAGGGCCCCTGGCATCAGGAGAGCTCCCAGAACCAGTCGGCAGCCCACTTTGTCTGCTCCCTGGCACAGCCGCTGAGGCCTCCACATGGGACGTTTGGCCTGAAGCTCTTACCGCCCTCGGCCAGCCTGAGAGGCTGCGGGTCTCGGGGACCAGGCCCCACTCCCACCTCCCGGCTGCCCTGAGCTCATGCTGGACCACCTGCCACACTGAAGGGCTATCTTTTAAATTTGGAGGAACGTCGTAGTTGCTCACTCCTGACGAGTAAAAGGCCCCTTTCTCCGCTCTAGCCCCTAGTGGCATCTGGGAGCAGAGGGGGCCAGCATGCCCGAAGAGCCCAGACCCCAAGACAGAACCAGCCTTGAGTGCTGGCCTGGACGGATCGGAGCAGGGTGTCCATTTCCAGACCTACAAGAAAGGAGCAGAGACTCGGCACGCTCCTGAGAGTCGCGGGGCCCTGGGGCCCACAAGGGGGTGGCGCAGGGGAAGACACCCGAGGACCCAGAGCTGGAGAACACCCACCCGCTGCAAGGGCGTAGCCAGCCAGGAGGAGATGGGAAAGCGGGGACTTAAAAGGTAACACCTCCCTCCTGTAAGTCTTTCAGATCAGATCCCTCCGCAGTTGCCCGAGGGTGCCAGCTCCCCTATCAGCATGTGGGCAACACACTGCCCCCTCAAACGGGCTCTCCCTGTTGTGCCTTCCAGGCCCCTGCTCTGGGTCTCCTACTGTGTTCTGCCCTTGGAGATTTTCTGAGTGTTTTTTCCATTGACTAAATGGCATTTACTGTCCCCCCAGCTGGCCTGTGAGACTGAGGCCAGTCCTTAGCCCTGTCCCTAGATGTCCACAGAAGTGTGGTCCCCAGGGAGGTGGTGTCCATCCACGCTCACAGGGCAGTGTGGGAAGGCCTGCCCTGAGCTCAGGGGCCAGCAGACTGTGGTTGCCAGACCTCAAAAGGGAGAGTTGCTCCAAGAACCTGAACATGTTGGGGTGTCTGGAGAATGAAGTTAGGCCTGGGCACTATTTGGGCCGCCCACAGGCAAGCTGGGCCATGTCTCCCTTGCCCACCTGGAACAGTCACTCAGAGGAAAGGGAGGAAGCCGGATGAAGAAGGCAAGGTGACCCTTGTTCTTGGCCCTCGCCTCGAGGGGAGAGTCCCCAGCAAGTCACTGCCCCCCACATCCTTAAGCCTGCCCACAGTGGAGAAGCCAGCCAGCAGTGGATTACGGCATGGGGGCACCTGCCAGGCACATGGCTGCTAAAGTGGGAGACTGTCTTTGGCTCCCTTAAGGCCTCTCTGAAAGACACTTTGGGGAAAGACTTTGCGCTGTTCTCCAGAGGGACAATTTTCTCTCCAGTGGGAAAAGGACCTCAGGCCCGGCTGGGCCCCAAGGCTGCTGGGGTGCTTTGCTGCCCTGCCCCTCAGCTGCACCTCTGTGCACAGGCCACCCTCAGGCTGGGGCCCTGGACCACCACAGTGAGGGAGTCCAAATACAAAAGGGGCATGCTGGCCTCCCTCCCCTTGGGCAGAGCCCTAGGAGGCAGACACACACTTGAACAACACAGTCTTGCTTGCACAGTGCAGGATCAGAGCTGTGAGCAAACATGGGCAGTGTAGGCTCTTGCCCTGGGACCTCTGCTTGGTACACAAGAATTGTCACCAACTATGGTGGGTGGGCCAATGGTATCACCTGGGAGTCCCTCTTGTCACCCCCCCATCCCCCAACTCTGGCAGGCCTTCAGGGTTGGAAACATCAAAACCTCATGGTGGCCAGGGCTCAGCTAACCTCTCCCTGGCCTGTGGGATCTGCAGGTGTGCCTGTGGACACCTGGTGAGGTTCCCAGCCAGGGGAACCGAGGAACCCAAAGTGGACGGATCTGGGAGGCAAGGGGCCAGGCCACTGGGCACTGCTGGAGTGGCTGCCCTGAGAAAGGGCACAGACCAAATGGGCAAGGGCAGGGCCTGCTCGGTTCCTCCAGCCAGGAGTGCTGGCCGCAACTACCTTTCTGTCTGACCTGACCCCAGCCAGACACAGGAAGCGTTTACTGTTGGAATGGATGCCAGAAAGGGACCAGGAAATGCAGGAAAATGGTCAGCCAGAAAGAGCGATGTACAAAGCCAGCAGGCGTGGGAGCCAGGCCAGAGCTGGCCAGAGGAGGGAGGGCAGGGTTTGGAGGCTAGGACCGAGGGCCAGAGAGATAGGGGGACTTGAGGGGAGAGGGAAGGGGGCTGGGAAGCTTAGCCCAGGACAGCTCACAGCAGGGTGTATAGGCACGGGGCGCAGCCTGCCAGCTCTGACTTAAGGGAGCCCCAGTGCCTCCTGATGCCCCGGCAGAGCCTGCAGGGAGAAGGCCAGCGTCCACCTGGGGCCTTGAAGGATGGAAAAGGATGCCCAGCCCTGAAAGCAAGTGGGGAACAAAGCCTGAGGCCAGAGTGTGAGGACTCAGGGGGCACCTGGGGGCCTGGGAGGTCTGGGAACCAGAGTGTGACTGCCTCCAAAGCCCCCAGAGCAGCCCCCTTCCTCCCGGGAGGACGGACACACACACACACACACACACTCTCTCTCTCTCTCTCTCTCTCTCTCTCTCTCTCTCTCCCTCTCTCTCTCCATCTCATCAGCGGAGCTCCCCGCGCCCCCCACCCCCCAGCACTCCCCTCCTTCCACCAGCGCATTCTTCTACTGAGTGTATGTCCGACTGTCCCTCCGCGTCCGTCTGTCGGTCTTTCTTCCCTCGCCCCCTCCAAAGCCGCGGCCCCCATTCATTCCCGAGGCCTCTGCCCTTTCCGCCGCGCTGTCCTGCTCGGCGAGCAGCTGCTATGCTAATGAGGGCGCTGGGCTGGGGAGGCTGGACGGCGGGCAGAGGAAAATAGCGTGGGGAGGCTAGGGGCTCAACAGCGGGCGGGGAGCCGGGCGGCGGGGCGCCTGGCCGGGGGTGGGGGGCGAGCAGTCACAAAGGCCCGATCTTTGCATTCAAGCCCCGGGGAAGCGCACCGGGCGGGGTGGGGGCACAGGGGCCGCGCTCGGCTCGCAGCCCACCCCGGGCACCCACTCGCCGGGCCTGAAGGGTGTAGAGACCAGCTGTCAGCTCTGTTCCTGGGTCACGGCCTGGACGGGCGGCTCGTTCTGGAGGACCCCACCACCACCGCGCCCTCCGGACGCCACCGCGCTCGGGGCTCCAGTGTGCCCGCCCGTTGGGTGTCCGAGCCGTTGGGTGTCCGAGCCAGACGTTCGGAAACGCCGGTCCGCCCCAGGCCTGGGCGGTCGGACCGAGAGAGGGCACGGAAGGGGAGCCCCGGGCGGGGGCAGAGGCGGAGCCAAGCGCGAGGAAGGGGCCCAGCCGCCGGCCTCCGACGGTCGACCAGGGGCAGGGGCCGGGGTACCCCGCGAGCCTGGCTCTTGAGGCCCAGGACGCCGCCGGACCGCGCCTGACCTCTCCCACCTTCCTCGGACGGGAATCCGTCGGGTGGGGACGCCGGGCAGGGCAGGGGGCCTCGGACCCAGGCGGGCCTCCGGAAGAGGACCTTGCACGTGGGCTGTGCTGCCGCCGTGCGGCTGCGGCGGGCACTGCGCCCCGGGGCCGAGGTCCGAGGCGGGCACGACCCCCGCAGGCCTTCGCTGAGCGCAGGCACCGCCTCCCCGGCTGCGACGTTTACCTGGAACCAGCACCGCCTGGCCAGCGCCCCACACCAGCCTCGGGGGGTCTGGAGCCGGCGCCGCGCTACCCTGGAGCCCACCTCTGTCTCCTGGCCAGTGGCCAGGGCCTGTCGGGGGCAGCCGCGGTGCACCGGGAAGGAAGGTCCGGCAGCCTAAGGAGCTGCGCCAGCCTGGGGCGCGAGGACGATGAAGGAGCCCGAAGCGGTTGCGATGGGAGCGGTCGGGCCGAGGCCAAGGCGCCACCGGGGCCAGGCAGGACCCCTCTGAGCGGGGAGTCAGGCCGCTGCCACCGGGGCTTGGCTTTGTGGGCGTGAAGATGCAAAATGCACGAAGGGAAAAGCAGGTAGGAATGGTCGTAGGTCCTGCCCAGGCAGCCTCGGGAGAGAACGTCCAGCAGGCCCTGGGCGATTGTTGCTGAAATTAGGACGCAGCCAATTTGTGGGGTTCGGTGTGGGCAGGATAGGGACCAGAACGTGGGCATTTTGTGGAAGGGCTGCCATGGAGCCCCTGGCCGCTTGGGCAGGAACCGCTGCGGTTTCCCAGGCCTGGCCTCGAGCACGGTCAGCCGACGGTTGCTGGCTCCTCTGGCCCTGGGCAGGAGACCCAGGGCCTCATCACGCCATCGGCATGGAGTTCTGGCTGCCCATTTGGTAAACGAGGAAGAGGGGGCCTCGGGGCCATGGAGAGAGGACAGCACGACACACCGTCCACTGCAGCCCTGTGGCCACCACATGTCACATATCAGGCCACAGACCACGCCCGTCGCAAACATCAGGACCGGTCATGGGGTTGCTACCAGCTCACCCCGGGGGTCCAGAGCCTCAGCGACGGGGCCAGGGGCGGGCAAGGCCTGATGGTCCAGGGGAGGCCCCGCTGTAACTGCAGGCTCTTCCAGCCGTCTCCACCCCCTCGCCCGCTTCCAGTGGAAGTGGCCGAGCCGGGCATCCGCAGGGAAAGAACTCTATCTGTTCAAACTCTTCCCTGCTCAGACGCAGAGCCCGGAGGCCAGGTTTGCACCTGCCCGTGTTCCCCAGTGGATAAAACCCGCCTCTGCAGGTCTGTGGGCCGCGTCCCTGGTGCCCTGTGGGCAAGAACCCCCGAGGGAGCCAAGCCCCAAACTCCCCAAAACCTTTCCAAAGATGACAAAATTCAAAACAGCGGAAGTGTGGACAAGT